AAAAAAAAAAAAAAAAAAAAAAAAAAATGATGACATTGCCTTTGTACTTACCTGCCCACATGACCAAAGGAAATTTAGAAATGTTTGCACCAAGCTATGCAATGTACCTGGCTTACGTGAACAAGCGGAGTTGTGCAGGTGGACAAGGAAAACACGTAAAAAGGGAATGAATGATGTGTTAGTAGAGGAGTCATACCAAAGTGCTTGTGGTTTTTCTTTGCTTTCATTTCCTACCTGAATAATCATGTGAATTTTTCACGATCACAGAAGAAAGGAAACCATGTCTCCAGTTTCTAGAGGGGAGTTCGAATAACCTGGGCAGTCCTCTCACACTTCTTGTCAAGTGGTTTCTCCCGCCAAGAAGAGGAGGATCACCAACAGATGGATCACCACCTGGCTGGCCACTGTCACTTCACAGCCAGCCAGTGCCCCATCTCTGCCCCCTTCTCCGTGGACTTGTCCCCCATGCCCTCTCATTCCAGCCTGGCAGGTCCAACACCAACCTTCACACGTCTTCTTATCAGCGGCCAGCTCGTAGCCAGGGTCGCACACACACCTGTAGCTGCCCAGAGTGTTTTCACAGCGCTGCTCACACCCGCCACCATCAGGCCAGGCGCACTCGTCGACCTCTGTCGGGGAGGAAAATGACTTTGGTTAAGGCATCACAAAGCTGCCTGGCCTCTTCCCCACCACGTCCCGCATCCCAGGGTCCCCAGCGAGTGTCCTCGAAGAGCGGGACAGCTCCAGGTGAGCACCGCTCAAGGAGTCCCATGTTCACATCTCAGAAACCGCCAGCAGCTACGGTAAAGGGGGGGAGACTTGAAAACGCAAGAGTAACTTGTTAGCCAGAAGCAGGGCTCCTTTAGAGGAGATCAGGCCTGGGTAACTTCAATCTGGGAAGGGTTCAGGCAATGGTATTCATTTGTGATTTTTAAAAAATCGCAAATGTTCCATACCAAAGACTACAAAAGATGGCATCGGTTGTAATGCCATGGAATTAGGGTCCCTCCACATATGGAACTTCTCAGGGACATTAAGGAAAGGGTAAGGACAAAGGGATACATTTCTAAGTGAAGATGTAAGAAAAGTATTTCCTAGAGATAGAACCAGAACCTGTGATTTAGCATTTTACAACTAATCTGAAGAGGTGTGCACAGGGCAATCTTCAAGTTACAGAAAACCCCAGGCTCTTAGGTTAGCCAGCACTCCCAGGAGAAACTGTTGTAAGAGGCCATCATGATTCTGAGGCAGCAGGCGAGACGGAGGGGATTCAGCACCAAGCATCTGAGGATGTGTTTGAGGCAAGTAACTAATGGCAAGTGGGAGGCCAAGGGTGCTGTCGAGGTGGGGAACATAAGGTTCATTGGAGCATCTCTCTGAACACGTCAGCCTGCACACCACTGAGGAAAAGAAAAACCCAGGCATTGGGAGCCTCCAAGGAGAGTGTCAGAAATAAACGGAGGAAGCATTCTCTTCTGTTGCCAAGTTGTAGTACATCTGCCCCTGGAAGAGCAGACAGGTTGTGTGCTAACCGAGTTGGAGAGCCTAGTGAAGGCACAACTAAACAGACAAACAAAAGCAAGTCCAGTATAGGAAGAAGGAAGGTTTGGGGCAGGGAAGGGGGGACTGGTTCATGACACCATGGAAGGCAGGCATAGAGGGAATACGGAGTTGTCCACAAAATCTTGGAAGACCACATTACACACAGAATAAGAGAAATCAGGACATCTTATTGTTAGTAAGATGTTTAGAGTTGGTAAATGTTTAGAAATGTCTGAAACAGCCCCCAACCCGGCCGCCTCGGGCAGGGATTCTTTTAATAGCATCTCCTGCAGATGGCTTTGCAGGCCCTGCTTGAAAGCAGCCAGAGAGAGGACTTGCACTGCTTTTCAAAGGTATGTCTCATTCTTTGAAATTTGAATTGTCACTATTCTGACTCCTTGCGGCTTCCAACCCATTGGTCCTACAGAAACTGCAAACCTTTCAACCATATCTCCCTTGCTCCTGACCTTTTCCAACTCAAATAAACCCATGTCCTTCCAATCTTCCTTGTCTATAATGTGCAAAATACTCAACGTGGTTATTGGCAGTTTATGAATATCCCACCATTTCATATAGTAGATGGTAAGCAGGTAACCCTAAGAGTGATGTGCTTTGGGCTCAACAAAAATTTAAATAAGTTGGTTGGTAGGAGAGACTGGGTTTAGGAGTCATGTCCTGGGCAGGGGTTTTAAGTGACTGTGGCTTCAAACACATGTGAGTATTAAGTATGCTAAAGTAGTGACAATCCTGCAGCTATATATCACTTTGTAATAGGCAAACCTTTATTCAGCATTTGCTAGGAAGTACACAGGAGGCCGTGAGAAATGGAGAGACCTTAGAGTAAACCCAGCAGACCTGGGTGGATGCCAGTGTGTCTTCCCTCAACAAAGTGAGTGATTTTATCTCTCTGAGTCTTCCTCCTGCTTTAGAATGTGAGTTTTTCCTGCATGTAGGGCTGTGGGGATTGAACATGACACGTGGGAAGCACCCAGCATATAGACATTCAGGACGCAGTACCGTTACTTTAGACAACAGTGAGGGTGGGATTGCTTTTGAAATTCCAGGGGGTGGAGAGACACAAGAATGAGGGTAGGGAAAAGGCTAAGGTAACCAGAACATACCTGAATCGGGGGAGAGTAGAGTAGTACGGGCCTGTGGAGGGGAGAGAGACAAAGCAGGAACAGAAAGAAGGAAAAGATGTCCAAGGTGGGCCAGTGAAAAAAGACTGGAGAGGCAGGAGGGAAGCACAGCACAGGCAAGAAGCTGGCTGGCAGGCGTAAGGGGAGGACAGAAAGGAACCAAGGAAAGAACCCGTCAAAACAGACCAAGATGAACAGAGGCCCAAGGCAGGGGGCAAAGGGGCCCTGATGTCAGAAGATGCCATGGCTGCTGGCAGGACCCACACATCGCAGGCGAGAGAGGGGGGACCCAGATGGGCAAGCACCTGGCGCCATCTCAGCCATGTGGAGGGAGAGAGGCTGGCGGATGGATTTGAGCCCAAAGCAAAGGGAAGACAGTCCCTCCAGAGACTGAACAGGTAGGATGTCTGTCTGGCCCAGGAAGGTGGGTGAAAGGTACACGCTTACACCTGAGCTTCCTCCAACAAGAGCAGTCAGACACTTGGCCATTTCCGACCCTGCTGTAGCTTGGATGGATGGGTGGAGGGGTCCGAAGGGCCCTGCTTTCAGTGGGAGCCTCGGCATCTTCTGCATTGCCTCTATTACTGTGGCAAATAGATGTGCTCCAAGCCCATGGGCTGGTGCTTTCCTGGGCTACGGCGGTTAAGGCCAAGCCTCCCAGAAAAGTCTGGGAGAATGTGGGGGTAGAAGAAATTTGAAGCAGGGCTCTGATTTATATAGCAGGAGCTCTGGCTTCTTCACCTTCTCCAAGTGGTACCAGTGAAAGAAGGGACTGTTGTCTGCTTAGACAACGAGATGACTCCGCCTGGACCAAAAACATTGTTTCAGAGAGAGTAAAGGAAAGAGAGGGCAGGGTGCATCCCTAAGCTTTTGAAGAGGTATCTTGAAAGAAGCCATTCCTACTCACCAACACACCATGGCTGTCCATCAGCCCTGGGACAGTGCAATTATGTGAATCAAGGTGGGAATTTTCATAGTCTTTATGTGGGGAGTGAGGCCAAAATGGGCCTGCCAGCCTGCAAATGCTCCTGCCATCTCCAGAAGCAAGCAGAGATGTGCTCTGCCCCCTGCAGGGCCAGCGGCTCTGGGAGAGGCTGCCATCTGGCTCCAGGAGAGGGATGCAGAGGCCAACTGGCACCCTGGTCAGTGCCAGGCGCCAGCTGGGCCCTGGCAGAGCCTCCTGCCAACTGGCACCAAGGCAAGAGCCTCCTTGGCTGGTTCAACTTTTCTGCAAGGCCTTTGTAGTTACTCTTCCAGGTTCTTTCACTGGGGAAGCCCTGACACATGCACTGGGCACTGTATGTTCACAAGACATCCTACTGATGGCCTGGCTGGAAAAGGCTCGGCCGAGGAAGCCAGCTGGGCTCAGTCTCGAGCCCTGCGCTGACCCCGATAGACACCAGCCCCGTGTGGCTGTGGAACACTGGAATGTAGCTTGTCTAAATTCAGATGTGCTGGGAGTGTGAAGCACACTGGATTTCTAAAGCACGGTATAGAAAATAAAATAAAATATCTCATTAATACTGTTCATATTGATTATACATTCAAATGGTAGTTTTTTGATATATTGGGTTAAATAAAATATATTATTAAAGTTAATTTCACCTTTTTTTTTTTTTTTTGTAAAGCCGTTGCTAGAAAGTTTACAATCACCTATGTGTTCACATTTATGACTCACCTCCTACGCTGGTTGGTCAGCCCTGCTCTAGACTGAGGTCTCTCGCTTCAAGCATCCTCATGGGACCCCAGACAGGTGGAGCAGGTGGCAGGACGCCCTGTCTGCAGATGAGGGACCTGAGCCTCGTCCGTTCACTGCCCAGGGTTTGCTGAGCCCATGAGGGCCGGGCACTGGGTGTACAGTGGAGAACAAAGCAGGTATGGTTTGGTCGCAGAAAGAGAGTGACTGCCCGAGAGCAGCTGGTGAGAAATGAGGGAAGAGAACCCAGCCTGCAGGCGGGAGGTCCAGGGCCCTTTCTCCCACACCCTCAGGGGACTGAGAAGGCAGAGAGGTGACAAGTGTCAGAATCAAATCATGAACACCAATGAAAAATTCAAAGCCCTTCACCTTACATGCCTGTGACTTTTAGGTCTCTGTAGTGGAAAGAGAGTACACTGCCCAGTCCCGCAGACCCAGGACCTGTTAGTGCTCTGCCACCTTAGAACCGCAGTTTCCTCAGTTTTAAAAGGGGAGCTAATAATGCTTGCCAAGGGGTTGTTCTGAAGATTAAGTGAGATTAACTCACGTAGTTTCTGGCACACTCAATAGATGTCTTTCTTTCCCAAGATTTCCACACAATCTGGTTCTTCTGTTAAGATTCATGGTCAAGCTCACTGACATACAAAAGCTGTCAAGCTGGGCTTGTGCACTGTTAATCTAGATGGGTCTCACAGGTATTTAAAAAGATGCTTGAGAATCAAAAATGCCCTCAACGTATCCAGGCTGGGTGACCTGACCCCACCCCAGGCAGAGTCTGACAGCTTCCTCCACGGCCCACACTTCCATGACATCATTGCCCATTTGCTTGCAGCACTCTTTCACCACCTGGAGCTCTTGAAGACAATGCCGGTATTTTCCTGTGTCCCCAGCCCCTAGCACAGCACTGAGTGAATAGCAGATGGAGAGGAGGAAGAAGATGGTCTCTTCTAACCAGCAAACAAGCTGGTTATCATGGTTACTTAGAGCAGGCCAAAGCTCTCAACTCAGTCCCTTATAAACCAGTTTAGTATCAAATACAGAAACACTTGTTTCTCTGGCATTTCCAGCAGGGTTGCCAAAAAAATGCAGGAGGCTTAATAAAATTTGAATTTAAGATGACTAACCAATCATTACTTAGCACAGTAAGCAATATTTGGGACTTACTGATACTAAAAGATCATTCTTCATCTGAAATTCAGATTTAATTGGGTATCCTGTTGATGTTATTTATTTGCCAAATCTGGCAACCCTAATCTCCCGCATTAGCCAGTTCTCTCAAAACTGTGCATCACTGACTATCAGCAGAGCCAGGAATGAGGTGTGGGGGTGGGCCAGTGCTAACTAGTTATCAGTTACCTCACTGGAAAAAGAGCCACAACACCTAATTTACAGATCTTGGAGTGGAAGTCAGGGGAGAAGGACAGGAGAATTAGAATAAAACCTCAGAATCATCTGGGGTATGTGTTAAGCAAAATAAAGCCGCACATGTCCTAGCTCCTGGAATCTGTGAATCTGTTACCTGGCAAAAAAGACTTTGCAAATGTGATTAAATTAAAGATCTTAAAGTGAAAGAGTATGAAAGATTGTCTGTGCAACCATAAGGGCCCTTATAACTGAAAGAGAAAGGAGAATGTGGGTCAGAAAAGGAGCTGGGGCAACAGAAGCAGAGGCCTGTGACTGGGCATGAGAAAGACTCAGTCGACCAACGCCGGCTTGAGGATGGAAGGGCCCCGTGAGCCAAGGAATGAAGGGGCCTCCTCTAGCAGCTGGAAAAGGCAAGGACATCTGGCCTCCAGAACTGTACCATAATAAATGTGTGTCCTTTTAAGCCACCAAGTTTGCAGTAATTTGTTACAGCAGCTACAGGAAACTGATACGTGGCAATAGCAAGAAGAAACGGTCATGCCATTTTTCCCAGAGAGAAAAATACCTACCTCAAAGGACTGCTAACTTAGCAAAGACCGTTTCATGAGACTAAACATTATACCATACGTGTTCACTCTCACCATTCCATTTCCTCCTGAAAACAAACTCTACAAGAACCTGGTAGTGTCTTTTCTACAAGTCAGAGAGTTTGTGTAACTTGCTCAAGGCCATGCAGCCAAGGTGGCTGCTGTTAAGTCACATGCGGTCTGGCCTGGGTGAGCCGGGGGCTGTGAATTCCCAGCCATCTCAGCTAAGGCTGCTGTGCCCTCCTTCCCACGACCACCACAAGTTGACCTGCATTTGAGATACACTTGCTGTGGCCTGGCTTCTTGGCTTGGGAGAGAATTAGTTAAATTTTTTTTCCAATTATTCAAAGCATTGTGATTCTTGTTCCGTTTCTGCTTGGGTTTTGCTCTCCCCAGATGCCTCTAGACAGAAAAAAATAATAATCCCCCATGCCTGACTGGCACTTTTCAGCTTATAAAGTGTCTCCACAGCCATCATTTTGTTGGGGCTTCACAACAACTGCTTAGGTAAAACAGGCAGGTTTCCTTCCTCCTGTTTTACAGAGATGAAAACGGAGGCTTCAATAAGGACAAAGGGCTGCCTGTTCAGGGTCACAGGGCTTGAAGTGGGTTCTTCTGACACTCATCCATTTATGTAGAACCTGGGAGAAGGAGCTAAAGAGGGAGCAGATAGGGAGGCTGGGAGTAAGGAGGGGACCAGGGTTTCTGGGTTGGCACAGTGGGGAACCCGCAAGGAGGGAAGGAAGGGAAAGCAGCCATTTGCATGTGAGTGGTGCGGCTAATCAAGGGACCTCCATTGGGGACTGGATACCTCCATTCAGTGGCAGCTGGTGTGCTACGGGGTGCCCAGTCACTATGCATTGGGAATTCTCTCATAGGTGTGGCCTGAGGGGCTCCCAGGGCCCTGAGAGCAGAGAAGGAAGACCTGCCCTCTCAAAGCAGTCTTGGGAAGTCCACTCTGCAGGACCAGGACACGCCATCCTGCGTCTGGTTTCATCAGGACCCTGCAGCCTCCTATGTCTCTAAAGCGATGTGGAAGTTTGTGGACTGAGCACCACCCCTCTCTCCTGCCCACCGCACCCACTTGAGCAGAGCTTGTAGGCTGGGGGCTGATGCCTCAGGAGCTGAAGACCTGGACTGCTCTCTGGCCCATATCAGTACATGCAAGGCAATGTTGTACAAAGAGTTTGAGCTTAGGAATCAGGCTGTGTCTGGATTCTTGATCTGCCACTTAAACTATCTGAGTGACCCCAAGCAGCCCTCATTGACCCTGAACAAACGTGAGCTAAACCCAACTCGAAGAATTATTTTGGGAATTAAAGGACATCAGGCAAATCAAGTGCCTTGCACAGTTCCTGACACACAGTGGGTGCTCAGTGAATGATAGCAACTACACAAATATTTATTATTATCAATGCTCAGTTTCACTAAAGTTCACTAAGTTGACCATGTGAACTTATTAAATCTAATGTCCAAGTGCAGCAGCGGAACTTCCTGCCATGTGGATGCCAAGGCCAGGCCTGTTTGTGAGTCAGTGTGAATTCTGCTGAGTTACAACTCTAAAATGGGTTGCTGCCTCCTGCCTGCAGGGAGCCTTGTATAATGCTAAGGTTTCATATGGGTGTTGTGATTCTTAAGCCAGGGGAGCAATAACTCTTCCTATGACTAAAAATGCAAATAAACTGCTAATTCATACCCTTGAAAAAATTAGCTGCAAAGCCCGCTTTATTGATGGAGCCATCGGACACAAACTTCATCCACATTCTGTTGGAGCTGGATTTCACATCCTCCGGCTTCTCATAGCCACAAAAGTGACCAATCAGGGTGCTCTCTTCTGTGGGGCCATCTCGGATTTCCAGGTAGTCATATGCACAGCTATCATGCCTCTCGATCTAAACAGAGAAACAGAGGCAATGTGGCAGATGACAGATGGCCTGACTTTAAGGTTTTTAAGATTTAACAAGGGAACCCAAATATCACTCTCAAAAATCTAAACAAGAGGCAAAAGGACCCAAGTGTGTCCTGGGCTCTCCCAGCTGTCTCCTACTTGAGGAAGCCAAGGGTGAATTAAGCTCCAAAAAGACTAAGATATAATGAACAGGAAAAAAAACGATTCTACGACACTTTCTGGGACCCCATCCTAGACTTTCACTTCTATTGTTTCTCTTCCCTCTCTCCACAGCCTCAGAAAGAAGGTGGATGTGATTTCAAAGCCTGCAAAGGTTTTGGCACCATGCACCATGGATGGGCTTGAAATGGCCTCTTAGGTTCCTGATGTCAACCAAAAAATGGAAACCTGTCTTTATAGAACAGAGAGTGTCTAGCAGAAGTTGGCATTTGCTTCTTCTCTGGGAAGACAATCTGAGCAGTACTCACCTCAAAAGCTTGGAAAGTAAGCCCCACGTGGAACCCCTCCGAAACCGTAATTCTCCAAACACATTCCTTGGAAGGTCTGTAGTCATCTGGGTAGTTGGGAGATTGGATCTGCCCGGTGTCTTTGTTAATGTCTCCCCCACACGTAGCTTTAGGAAGAGAACCAGGAGGAGGGGGTCCCAGGTCAGACCTTAGGAAGGAAGGTGGGCGGCCACTTATTACCACTAGGTGGCTCCACATTCCACCCAAGTAAGACTGCTTTTGGAAAGGCACCATTTCATTCATTTTTTTCATATACAAAAAATAACCATGTAGGGGGGTGGTCATCTACCTTTGCTGTGCATCAAAATCATGAAGGAGATCTTTCAAGCTGTGGAAGCAGGGCCATATCCCCAGAGGGTCTGATTCAAATGGGGCTGGGGGAGCTCCCAGCAGCAGTGATGTGTAAGAGTTCCCTGGGTGATTCTACTGTAGAAGGTAGAGGACGGCTGGACAGAGGAGCATGCATGCATGCACACACACACACACAATTTTTTATAAAAACAAAACCTTGGCCTCTCCAAAATTACAACAATTTACTCAATATGTAGAACAAACAGAAGCAGAATTGCCCTGGAGGCAGCTGCTTGGAGCCCAGAACCATTGGTTCCCTCAACTCAGTCACCATGGTGGCCTCAGAGACCCCTCCAAGAAATGTAGTTGTAAATTCCCTGACATTGTCCCAAGTCCTATTTTCACAAATGAAATAAATAGAGGCCCAGAGAGGTTAGATTCTTTGTTCAGGCTCACACAGCTATTGGGAGGCTGTCTTCATTTCCATGGGGTTCTATAACCCTGACAGCACCCTCTGCAGGGGCAGCCGGCCCCACAGCCCAACTGGAAGGAGGTATCAGGCAGCTGGAGACAGGTGGGTGACGCCTGTCCTGACGTGAGCACTGCTGGCCGATCTGTTTTCAGAATGTGAAGGACAGGGACAGTGGCGTCCTCAGCCTCGGCCCTGCAGCAGCTGCTCCCACCCTTGTGGCTCTGGCAGCTGCCACGCAGGCCCGGGTGGCAGAGGACAGCAGGTTGCACGTGAAGGACAGAGGCCTATCGAAGCTACCGGGGTGGCTTACTCATTGTGAACAGACCTTCATACTCCGCGAAGAAGCCCTTGCCCAGGATGTTGCTGCTGCTCCGGAACTCCACCCAGACCCGGCTGTCGGTGGAAGTGAGGGGCTCTGGGACTTGGTCGCCACAAAACCTACCTGGGAAGTGGAAAAGAATGGTCAGGCTTCAGGACACAGCAAGAGGGGGCTCAATGCAGGGAGTGGTGTTTCTTCAAATGTGGTTCACCGTGAGCAATAATCCTAGCTGCGGCCATTCACAGCACATACAGGACTAAAAACTAGGACAGAGACAGTCTCACAACCTAAGTGCTGCCTTCAGACTGACTTCAGGAGAATCTGAGACTCCAATCAATCAAAGCCCTCAGAGAAGAGCCAGACACTGCTCTGCCTGGCCAAATGGATTTTGTGGACGTGCTGAGGTGCGGCCTGGGAGAGTGATGAGCTTATCTCCCCCTGGTATTTCCTATCACATATGCACCCTTCTTCAGGCAGCATGCCTTTGGGAAGACATTCTGCTTTCCTGGCCTCAGAGAAGGGATGCCAGAGAACACAAAGAGTGAAGAAAATCAAATCTTGGCTTTTGAATTTCACGAGTCACAATACCAAAGATCTGGAAGAGCATGCAATGAGTAAGAGCACATTGTCCCCTCCTCATAGATCTTAGAATGATTCTTAGGATGGATGGGTAAGACTGGGGAGAGAGAGGGTTGGAGAGGGCACCATGCCCCCATCCCCACCCCAGAAGGACCCTGTACCCTGTCCTACCCTCAGCTGAGATCCTGGGCTGAAAGGATGATAGAGACCTGAAGCAGGCTTAAGGATCTGGGAGATCTTGGATAGAGAACAAGGCCCGAGATTCCCCATGTCCCCGAGGTCAGATCAGGAGTGTCTACAAGGTTTATCGAGAAGATACAGGCCGGAGGATAGGCATGAAGAGCTCTCAGGCAAAGGGGCATGGAAGCGACTCCCCGTAGCCTGGGGGGTCTGGGGAGTCGGAGAACATCTCCTGGGACATGTGGACTTGGCACCAATCTGAACTGGCCTAGAGTTGAGACAAAGAGGAGGCACAGCAGCCACTGAGGATTCTTTGCTTGGACAGAGGACTGGAGGCCAGATGGGAATGAGGACATCCCAGCATTGCCAACCAATACGGATGCCCTCTCTGCCATCAGGCCTTGGCATAAAGTTTGCCCCCCATGGGTGCCCCCACCCTGGGGGAAGAAAACACAAACTGACCAAAACTGATTCCTCACCACCTGAACTTCTGCTGTTGAAAAATATAAGTAAATATGTATTTATTTCATAGACACATGAGTCCAGGTCTGAAATTTGGATCCCCTATAGAGGAAGAGGGGGGAAGGCCATGCTTTCCCAGTGCATGGTGACCCCTGGCCATAAAATTCCCAATGCTATGTAAGGATGGCGCCAGGGCAAGGTCAGGGATGGGGCAGGGTGGGAGGTGGGTTGAGCTGTACTAATCACGACACAAGCCAGTCGAGGTCTATTTGGACTGAGGTCATGGTTCTCCAAGCACTGACTGTGTGAGTCACTTAAAAAATCCGTTTAACATTGGGGGAAGTGGAGAGTAACTATTAGTAGGTATGGGATTTCTTTAAGGGGTGAAGAAAATGTTCTTAAATTGATTATGGTGATAGTTGTACAACTCTGTGAGTCTACTAAAAACCACTGACTTATACTCGTTAAGTGATGAGTTGTATGGTATGTGAATTATACTGCAATTTTTTTTTGAAAGTCTATTTTAGGGGCACTACTTTATTGCCAGCACCATGTTAGGCACTGGATCAATCCTCTGAAGCTATAACTCTGCTTTGTTCTGCCGAGAAATGGGGGAGAAGGGTTGGGGGAAGGAACAAATACCACCATGGACATTTCCTCACAACCAACTGGGGAGATACATTCTCTGGGGAGATACAGGGTAGAGGCTGTTAATCTTCTGCTTCCGATTTTGGCCACCTGCAGCCTTTTGGGTTTGGTGAGCTTAACGTTAAGTAAGATGAGCTGAAACTGCTGCCAAGTGTTTGGCAGGGAAAAATCCATCAGAAGCCTGTAAATTTTTAGTAATGGTTCCTTGGGCAGTGCCAGCTAGTGTCAGTTAGTTCTTGGAAACCTACATGTAAGCAGGAAAGTACTGCTTACCAGTGAGGAGCTGGAGCTGCTGAGGAGCAGTGAAACAACATCCGATCACAAAAGGAATTCCTTCCCAGCAAACCAGATTTCAAGTCCAAATTTCTTCTTTTAAAGCCCCAGCTGTCACAGCCGCCAGGGACTGCTTCCAAGAGAGGGACTTCCAGTGCCTTGCTGCCTAAGAATGCAACCAGTGACATGAACCACCCACCCCGGGGGGCCGTGTCTGCTCAGTACTTTGGGCAGATAGGATTTATAGGCTAAGGCGTATTTTACTGCCTTGACCGAGCTAGACTTGGCAGAATAAATTACAAACTATTTCTAAGTGGTATCTCTCCCTAAATCGCCTTATGATTCTTAACCAGAATCTTCTACTTTGTCCCTTGCTTGGCTGATGCCTCAACATTCTCATTTTCACCATAATGGCTCTAATAAAAGCCTCTTTTTTACTGAGCATGTCTATGCCAGGCACTGCCCCAAGCACTTTACATGGATTATCCAGTTGCATCCCCATCATCCCCTGAATGATGTACTACTATTAATCTCATTTATGAGAAAATTGAGGATTGGAGAATTTGAGTTGAGCTACACTCAATCTAAGTACATTCAAAGTTGTAAGAGGGTGCAGGATTTGAACTTTGGCAGTCTGAGATCTTGACTGTCACCATCCATCTCACCTTCATTGTCATTGCCACCACTGCCACCACCATCAAGAGGAACTTCTCTGTTTCAGGTATGATTTTGAATACTGTACATTTTTTGATAAATAGATATCAGATGTGTTCTCTGGGCATGGAGACATCATTCCCATTTCCCAGTTTGGAACCCAACACATAGGAGTGAAGATCAAAGCCTGGCTGTTTGACTCAGGCTATCATTTGTGCTCATTTGGGGGGCTGCCCCTGCCCAGGAAACCCCAGGAGTGGGGCCACGCGACACTGATTGGCCAGCCCAGCCTTGCTGAACTTCCCTTCCCACTTCAGGGAAAGGGGAGAAGGGCTTTTGTGTGCATTGTGGTGCCACAGAATGCCCAAAGACAGTTCTGCATACAAAAGTGCATTGTTAGAGTAATTCTTCCAGCAGAAATAAGGGAGGGGAATCCAATTAACAGGACAGTATTTAAGATTACTGGGTGAGTTCTCCATGCAGCCACCCTCCTCCCTCTGCAGGTGCAATCTCATAAGTGACCCCCTAAAACTGAAAAACCAGTTTGATATCTTTAACCAGCAGTAAAATATTCTCATTTGCCTTAACATTTCCCTTTGATTGTTATGTGAAAACCTGGGTCCCAAACAGCCTTCTTCCAAGGAGACAACTAACAGGCTGGAGAGAAACTGAACTAGAGAAAAGGTGTCAGATTCCTAAACTGAAATCTGGCTCCTGAGTTTGGAGGAGGAGTTTAATAAGGATATCAAGAAGAGGAAATGCAGATGAGGACACTACAAGTGGGCTCCATGGGGAGTCATAAAGGGTTCATTCATAAAAAGTTATGCATCCATTATGCTTGGATTTTCACACACTTCCCTGGGAAAGTATGCAATGCATAGTTTTTCAGAGCAAGATGCATACTTTCACAATCCGCCCTAATCCGCTCTCCCTCCTGCCAAAGGGGCATTGACCTGCCTCCTCCCAGCAGATTTTAGGGCACTGACCCCTCCCAGGGATCAGTTTGGTCCACACAATGCACTTGTTCCAAACACAAAAGTTCACTAACAACTGCATTTGGAAACATCAGAGCAGGCCAAACAGTTGGCAAAGGAGAACTCCTGCAAAGGAAGGATGACAGTTACAGGCAGTGGGCCATGCACACACACACACACTGCAAAAGTACATAAAATATGAGCCAAAAATAAAAACCACCTCAAAATAAAACAAACCACCGATGACAAGGAACAGCAAAAGACCCATCTAATCAACAAACGTGTAGCCAGAGATACCAGAATCTGTAGTGAGAAAATTCTTCTTTCAAGGTCAAGAAAAGAGAACTGTTGGAAATCCCTTAACCTGTGCCCATTCTCAGGAGCATGCCTTGGTCCACTCCCTGGGGAACTTCGGTAACAGAGAGCATCCTCCTCCTGAGCCTTTAGATCTGTCACATTCCTGGGGGGCTATAGAGTTGTGAGATGTAGCAAAAACAAAGTACAGGAATCCCAGTTAAATTTGAACTTCAGATAAACAATAAACTGTGCATTTCATCTGGCAGTCCTCCAGGGGTACCCTTCTCAGATTTGGCAGGGCCCCCCTCCCCACGATGAGCAGGACATTGGGGTTCTGGTCCGATGTCAGCTACTAGCTGGCCACGTGGCCTTAAGAGGGTTGGTCCACCCTTGCGGAGCATGGCTTTTCCCATGCAAGTGTGGGGTAGGTGACTCTGAGGCCCCTGCCAGGGTGATGGGTCTGTGATTCCATGTTCTCTGAAGCTCCTCCTATACAGCATCTTTTTATTATTCTCATTATAAAATACTACCTGCATGCATTCTTGTAAAAGAGTCAAACAATCTAGAAGTATGCAAACCAATGTTTGCATACACGGTGTCTGCCCACCGTAGGCAGGAAGCAGGAATCCAGGGCAGACAGCTTGCACCCTGCCATCAGGTCACATAGCCCATTTGTCCTGCAGTGGACATATTCCTGTCTGTGCATGGCCTAGGGATCACTTTCTTGACTTGTCTACCTGGACCAGTAATTATCTGACTGGCCCCTCCTAATGGCGTCAGAGCCTGCCCTGACTTTTTTCTAGAGCGTCCGTGGACAAATTCTTACCTGTCTGTACCTGTAGGAATTAAACTCACTGCATTCTGGACAGAAGGGCCTTGTATGCCATTCCCAATAGAGATGACCTGCCTGTGACCCCTTGGCCATACAGAATCTAACACCTGCCAGCACCCTCATGGGTCCAGCCCAGACCCTCTGACCCAGTCTCTTCCAACCTACTCAGAATCTGACATGAAGTTGGGTTCAGTCTGGCCATGAAATTCTCCAGCTTAGCTTTCTTTCTTTCCTGTCTCTGTCTTTGGTCAGTGGATGCACAGGAGCTCACTGTCAGGGCAGCCATTCACAGCAGAACTGGTGTGACTTTTCTGCCCACATGAGGATATGCAGGGACAAAGTTCTCACTGATGCTCAGACTTGTGCAACCCAGAAGCCACCCTGCCCCACTCTAAAGTGAGGACAACCCGCTCTCCACGGAACCCGTTCCCTTTGGCTCCTTGTAAATCTGTATCTCTTTCTTGTTCAACCCTGGCCACCATTTGTGCACCAAAGGAGTCCCTAGGCCCGCTCCGAGGACATCAATGCCATTGGTCCTCTATACATCTCCCCTGGTCACTGAGAGATCTTTCCTCTGGCGACCAGTCCTGAATGAACTGACCTTTCTCTTTACACCACCTGCCCATTGCCTCTCACACAAAGTTCCAAGCTGCCTTCCCATGTTTGAGTTCATGCACTGTTCATCTGAAAAGGGTACATACCCATCAGAGAAAAATTCTAAAATAGAGTGAAACCAGGAACAACCACAACAAAATAAATTTAAAAACAATACCAAATCATCCTGAAATAACCACTGTGTTCTATTTATTTATATTGATAATTATATTAATTATATTGTAGATCACAAAATGGTTTCTTCCAATTAAATTCAATTTGTACAATAGTTTAAGTATTTTGTTTTGAGTAATTTTGGTCAGGATATTTACTGTTCAGTTTGCCACACATTGTCCACCTGTCCTTATTTTATCATACCAACCCTATCTTACTCATTTCTGCCTATTTCTGAAGGCATCTGAGTTTGCAAAGGCTACAAAACATACATGTAAATGAACTTTTATTAAAATGGAATCCTTTTGCATATTCTTTTTTTGCACAGCAATGTATAATGAACACCTTTCTGTATCAATAAATACTCCCCTCCAACTTTATTTTTAATGGCTGGATAGTTTTCCACTGAAAAGATGTATCATGATTCATTCAGCTAACCCCTACTGTTGAACATTTAAATTGTTCTCAATTTCTCCTGCTTCAGTGAACACCCCTGTAGCTAGAACTTTGTACACGTCCTTAATTGATTCCCTGGTATAAATTCCAAGAAGTGGCACTGCTAGGTCAAAGGGTATTCACAGTTTTAAAAGCTTTTAGCATGTGTGGCCAAATGGAGTGTTCAGAGTTTTACAATGACACAGACCCTGGAGACTTCCTGTGACTGCCGTCAGGATGGACTCTTCCAAACGTTAACAGCATTGCCAGAACATCTGATCACTCCTCTCTTCAGGCTTTCTAAAGTCAACTCACCCAACAGCGGGGCTTTTCGCCAGTACCCGTCCCGGACCTCCACGTAGTCATACCAGCACAGGCGGCTTTTAAACAAATCCATGGATGTGAAGTTTAAGATGATCTGTAAAGAGTTACCACAAAGTGAGTTTTGGCAACAAAGCCAGAGGAGTTGGGAGCTACATCTTGCATACCGGTGCTCTCGCATCGCCCATTAGCATACAGAGCGCTCAGACCGCAGTAGGAGTGTCCTCTCAAAACACACTGAAACAGGAAACCTCATGACATTAAATAATAAACCTTAAGCAGGATGGGGAGTAAACAGAGGAGATGGGTCCTTTGGTTCTGTCTGGGGAACAACTTGAGCTTTGAAGTCACTAGGTGGTTTACAGAAAGCAGGATGCATTATAAGGACGGGCAAGTTGAGACTGGGGATTTGGAAGGAGGTAAGGGGTCAGTGAAGTTCAGAGATAGAAAAGATCTTACAGCATCATCAATCATTCCAGAGCACTGGGGTTAGCCCGAGTGCATCTGAGCACCTCCATGATCAATGTCCCCTCGGCCATGACCTCACTCCTCTGAGGCATGGTGTGTCTAATAGCCTTCCTACAGTTAGTCTGTTCATTCATTCATCCATTCCGCCCTTGGTAGTGACCGCCTACTGTGTGCCAGTCTGTTGAGAAATAGAGATAGAATGGCCAGTAAGACAGGGTTCTTGCTTTTGGGGAACTCAGATAACACAGATGTGTCAAGCCAATTAGAACCCTATGGAATAAATGCTGAAAAGACAGGGAGGGACAGAAGGGGCATTGTGGAGCCCAAAGGAGAAATAAATGCTGTCCAGTGATACTGCAGACAGTTTCTCAGAGGAGGTGGCATTTAACCTAAGGAGAATAGGGGCCCGGCGGGCATCGAAGGAGGGCGGAGAGCCTTCTGGTGAGGAATGGTGTGAGCAAAGGTGAAGAGATGTCTGAGGAACTGTACTGTATGCTCGGCATAGGCCATTACCTGTGTCTGGGATGAGGAGGCAGAAGGGATGAGGGGAATGAGGGCTGGAGACGCAGAGGGTTCAGATGGACTGAGAAGGGAGGTTTCAGTTCTTCTGAACACCCTGCGGCTGTGCAGTGGAGTCCAGAGGCAGTCTCGCCCTGCAGCCTCACACAGTTGCTGTACCCATTAACTGGCCCTGGTCCCTGTGGCAACCCTGCCAGCGTGGGGCTCCCGGAGCCCGGAGCAGAGTGCCAGCATTTCCTGCCCCTTCACCCGCATTCAGGCTGCGCTGTGCCAGGTGCCAACGCCACGCCTGGCCCCAGCTCTCAAGCTCACTCTCTGCCTGTGCTCACTGCATCCCCGGCTCCATCATTTCTCGGCCTGCGCTCTCCCGGCCCCGTGGAAGGCAGGCCTGCCCCTCTTCCTTTCCCACTCCAGGGCCCTCGCTCTCCATCAGCTCATCTCACCAGCATCTCCTCTCTGCCCCCTCCTCTGTCCACTTTCTTGAACATTCAAACAGCTAGGGTCCCTCTGTGTCTAAGTAAACCCTGGGGCAGTGGTCGGCAGGTCAAAGGTTCCAGCGGCCTCCCAGCCCAATCAAAAGGACTCTTATTTGTCCTCCTCCATGGCCCTCTGCTATGGACCGCATCCTGTCTTCACTGCTCTCTCTCCTCAGCTGACTGCTGTCCTCCCTGCCCCCATTAACTGTGGGGGCCCCTCAAAACAGAGCATTTCCCTCCCAGCTTCCCTGCCCAAGGTGGCACCATTGCCACAGTCACACAGGTGCCCCACCTTGCTGCTATCCGTACTTTGCCCCTGTTGTTTATCCCAATGCTGACAGACTGTTTCTTCGAGATATCTGTGTCTCTGGCTCCAAGCCAGAGTCGCCGCCCCTTCAGCAGCCCTGCCTGCCTGGTTGCTGCCAGGATGGTTCCTGAACTCCTCCCTGCTGTGCCCCCATCTGTTCTGCACATTAGGGCTTCTAGATCAATCCTGCACTTAGATCTCTTGTTTACTAGATCCCCGTATGCTCGGAAAACTTCAGTGGCTCCCTGTGCCCCCATGTCATAAGTTAAACTCTCTGCTTGCCTTCCAGAGCCTCCAGTGCCCACCGAGGAGCCCTCCCTTCCCGGTGCACCCTGACATATCTGTGCTTGTGGAACCCCCCCCCCCCCACCAGGCCCAGCTCAGGTGCCTTCTCCCTGAGTGCTTCTCTGACTCCCCGGAGGGACACGAGCTCTCCCTCTTGGGAGCACACCCCCACCTCCACCCCTTACAGTGACTATACAGCAGGCATTACTAGAGTCAGGCAGATCTGAATGTCTTCTCAGCTCTACCACTTACTAGCTCTGGGATCTGGGAAAATACTTGTCTGCTTGGACTTTTAGTTTCCTCATCTGTAGAACAACATACACACCACTGGGTTGTTGAAGGACCTACCCAAGAAACTGTATTATAGAGTGTATAGTGCTATGCCTGGCACATAATAGTCACTCAATAAATGGCACTTAAAAAAATCAGGCCATACTAAGTGTACACTTAGCACACCACAATGGACACACTGTGTTCTTCACAGGTTGCCCGTCTGGGTGGGTGCTGAGAGTGCCCCCCACTCCTTCTCTCTGGCCAATTCCACCCAATGATTAGGTTTCAGGACAAGTAGAACCTTCTACTACAAAGCCGTCTGGTCTCCTAGGAAATGAAGAGCCAGTGCCAGAAAATAATAGCCCAGTTCACCCCCTGAGTTGTAGTGTCTGTGTATGTGTGTGTGTGAGAGAGAGAGAGAGAGAGAGAGAGAGAGAGAGAGAGACAGAGACAGAGACAGAGACAGAGAGAAAGTCACTCCTCTTTCAAACTAGACCAGTGGTTCTCAACCCTGGAGCTTTTTAAACTCAGAAGCTCAAAAAAAAGTAATACTTGCTAGCTAGTTGCAATATAATTCTTTAGCCTTTGCTTTTTAAAATTTCAGAAAGGAAACGTCATTACAACTTCCTTGGTAACACATTAATGATACAAATGAATAGTATAGGATAGTTACTCAGGCTAATTATTTTAAGTATATTAGTAAGTCATAAAGACCACAGAGAAAGAGGTGATAAACAAGAGGTGATCTAGCAAACCTCTTCTAGCAAACAAATCAGTCAAGTTTGCTAATTACTAGCAGCTCTGGTGCTTAAGGGTGGGTGAAGAAGAAATTGAAATAATTGGTGCAGGAATTTCAACGATGTCTATTTTCTCTGCACCCAGTTAGCAATAATTAAGGCTTGGTGAAACTCTTACGCAATTCAAAACACATCACATAGCCTCTGCTATTCAGAGCAACTTAACAATTTAGGGATTACCAGATCCCTTCTTCCTCCTCCTCTTTCCTGCCTCTCTCATATTAATGCCTCTGGCAGGCACAGGGATGGCACATACACTCATGGCAGACAGGTCTAGAGTCTCTCAGCCTCCAGATGACAACCACACTGTCATAAATGCCTAGAGCCAGAGGAAGGGTGTGTGCATATGAGTGTTGTGTGTTTATGTGTATGTGTGCATGTGAGCATGTGTGTGTGTGAATGCATGTTCAAGTGTCTATTAGCCTGTCTCCTTTGTGGAAATATAGACTGATGGGTAAGCATTTGGGTTCTCAGAGTGAAATCATCTCGGTTCAAATCCCAACTATGCAACCAACTGAGCAGCACTGGGTAAGTCCATTTCCCAACCTGAAAGATGAGTGTGAAATAGCATCTATCACATGAAGTCATGAGGATCAAATGAGATAATCTACGTAATATGCTGATAACACTACCTAGCCCATAATAGGAAACATTTAAATGTACTCCTTTAAAGTTATGAATTAGGAATACCTGAAGGTTCATTTTGGACACCTGAAGATCCAAACCGCCATCCGCCCCCCACCCCCACCGCAACCCCAGCTACAGGTTTTACTTGGCCACTCACACATCCACGTGCCTATTCAACAAATACTTATTGTGTTACTATGTGTCATGAGGTGTGTTGGGTGCTGCGAATCTGGGCATGAACAATCTGTCCTCAATGAAGTTAGGGTCTAGAAGGGGGTTAGTCAAATAAATCAGCAGCCATCATATTGTGAGATGAGCTATGACAGGTATGACTCTAGGGAGCTGGACCCATGGGACAGAGAGGGCAACTCAAAGATAGCTGCATCTAGGTTGAGACAACCTGAAGAAGCCTTGGATTTATAGAAAGGTATAGTGAAAACACCCACAAGCTCCTGAGTGCAGGAGCCCCAGATCTCAGTTCTACATCTTACTGTGAATTTGGGCAAGTTTTTAAATGTCTGAGCTTCAAATTCCTTGCCCAGGTAATGGATATAAGGAGAGGCACCCTGCAGTGGGGCTGAGAACATTCCACCATTGGACCAGTGCCAAAAGGCCCCTGCCCTAGGCTCAGCTCTAGAGAGTCATGGAATCTTCAGGCCCAAGGGATTGAGCTCACCCAGAGGTTGTGTAGCAATTAGACCTCATTCCAGATGCCCAACCCTGGAATTCCTTCTCAAATAGTCCACTTCCAGGGTATGCATGGATCTCTGCCCTGGATGCACTGTCCTGAGGGTGCACAGCACACCTGGCTGATCCACTTCTGCTAGGGGGGCAGCCGAAGAACAGCTGTGCACAAGGGAGGAGTGTAGGCTATGTGGGAATGTGGGCTGGGGTGCCACCATGGGCGTCCCTGAGATGGAACTGGGGCTGGGAAGAGAAGTGAGGGCCAGCTGCTCCAAATTGCTTCCTCCAGAGAGGCACTCCGAGGTATCAAGGAATTCTAAATTGGCTCCTTGCCTTCCAGGGCATTCTGATTGTGTCTTTATCAAGGTAGGAGGATAGAGTCTATTTTGCTTTACAAACTGTGAGCTTGACTTATAACTCACATGGACATTAAGTACATAGGCCTCCATTTGTTTGGGGGAGACACATTGAAAAGTCCAGAAATGAGTAATGTTAGTAAGCTAGCACAGTGTCTGGCATGGAGTGAGTGCTCATAACAGCTGTTATTACTACTATTAATAATAATAATAATTGCAAATGCCTCACCCAACTCAAAGAAGTGATGGCATTCCCTGAGGTGGTTTCACACCTACCTTTTCCCCTGGAGTGACCGATATCCTCCAGACGCAGTGGGAATAAGAAGGATAGCCATTTGGGAAACCAGGTGCGGAAAAGTTTCCTGTTGTGTCCTGCAGGGTCTCCCCACATGCTGCACAAGCAAAACAACTGTGATCCTGGGGTGCACACACATTCCCTGCCTAAGCGGCAGACTGCACAGGGCTGCGGAGCAAATACATCCCTGCCCCGCCAAAGCCCTCAGAATGCACCGGCAGGAAGCATGCCAGGCAGACTGACATTTTCCTGGCTAACAAAAGTGAAGTTGGGGTCTGTGCACCAAAAATAACACCCAAGGGCTTCTTCTGAGGCTCTCAGGGTTGTGCATGACCCCAGGCTGGGTTTGAATCTCAGCTCTCCAGTCAGCTGTGTGGCAGGGGGCAAGTTTCCCAGCCTTGCTGGGTCTTCCTTTTCTTATCTAAGTAAAATGGGCAGGACCTACCTAGAGGGTTAATGAAATCATTTGCATTAAATGAAATGGATGGGCTTGGCGTGAAGCCCATGGTGAGTTGCTCCACACAAAGCAGCCATGATGATCACCATGAACAACCTGTGGCGGAGGGAATACATAAGTGCAGGGAGTTGAGGCAAAAATAGAAAAAAGAAAATGCTTTGAAACTCAATTCAGCTATCAGTTTGAATCTTGCCTTTTCTTTTTCTGCTACCCAGCTCTGAATGAGCCACCAAAAGTCAAGAAAACAGAAAAATGACCAGAGGCACAGGACGCTGGAATACTGTCCAGTAGGCGATTCTGCCTTTGAATGTTTGCCTGGTCATGAGGCCGGACTAGTCCTCACATGTGTGAAAAATAGTTTCCCTGATTTGTCCTAAAAAAGAAAGTCATCTACATAAGTAAGCTTGGAGCTGCAGGTTTCATATGCCCAGACATTCAGGAGTCAGACCCCAAAGACAAAGACATTGGTTTGCTGAGGGCCCCTCCTCTTAGGGGGCCACCCTCAAAGGGTGGGAAACAACCTTAGGCATCTCTTCCTCCATGCAGTTCGACCTCTGTCCTGCAACTACCCTCGCCTTCAGTTACTACTTGAAATTACTTGAAGCTGCAGCTTTTGGAGCTGCAGGAAGGGATAGCTGGAGAGTGGCCTATCATCGGCCCCAGGAAATCCTGGATAGCAGGGCTCCAGTATCATGTTACTGAACAACTGCCAGGCATCCTAAGGATTATGCCCTGCAGTCAACACCCCACAAGGCTCCATGGACATTATTTTAGAGTAATCATCAGCATTCTGCAAGAATAGATACATTACTGTATGGCTCTGTGGTATCTACCAGTTGCCTCGATCCCTTTTGGGAAGTAAGAGGCATCTGTGTTATAACTAAATAAATACTATGGCATTTCCCAGAGAATGCTATAAGGTTTCTCTTTCAATTTGGCAAGGTTATATGATATGTGTGTCCTGTATTTCAGCTCTAACCACCCCCAGATGACTAATAGCTGGATGGACATATTTCCTAGAATCTATGATGGAGCAAACCCCACATGGCCCTTTGCACACCTTGTGGTCCCACTCAGTAGGGTAATGTGACAGCCCAGATTTTCTAAGATGGCCCGTATTTCAAACATTCTGTCCCATTGATCAAACCGTGTGTCTGGTCTGGGGGTTTGAAAAAAGTTACTGGATGTGTTGGTAATGGAATTTCTTTCTTCCTCCTTGAACTGGAATTGCATTCTCTCCCATCAGGGGTAAAACTTGGCTGCTGTAGCTAATGTTTGGCACTGAAGCCCAACAGCTTAAAGGGATCAACGTGAGCTTGCCCTTGGAGCAGCAGGGCAGTGTGACAATACTGAGGTCAGGGGGACAGAGGCAAAGAGGGAAAATTCCAGGGGAGGGGGCTTCCAAACTGAGCAGCAGACTTCTGCTTAGACTTCTGGTTAGAGCTGAAATACAGGACACACCATTCAGTCCTCCATGGCTCATTGCTGCCCACTGACCAGCATCTTGGGCAGCTAGAAGAGGCCCAGGGCCATAGAAACGCCCTCACTTACAGCACTGAGACTTCCCTGCTTCCGGTGTTTGAGAAGCTGACTCCCACCCTGACATAAACATTCTCCTTCATTTTGTCTTCCTGCAAAACCCTTGGTTCTTGTTCTGTCAAACCCACATGTAAAGGAAAGGTGCTTTTACTGTTTACACACCGCATCAGTCCCCCATTCACTTGTCTCACCTGCCTTTTTCCTCTTCTAAATGTCAGGGCTTTGTCAGAGAATTCTAAAGCTTCCCACAAGTCAAACTGCAGGCACCAAGACTTATCACTCACTTCACTGCTGGTAATCACTTCACCATTTGGGCTTTCTACGCTGCTTCGCACCTCCTAACAGCAGCACGCCAGAAATTACAGTGGCCAGGGGTCTCCACATTATTTTCCCAGTAAGGGGAAATGTTTGCAAAGGGAGGTTAAGTGGTTTCCTGTGGATGCTCTGGAGGCCCCGGGACTCCCCAGGGGCTAGTCAATTACCTGGGCATTTGTACAGCTTCCTGGCTTGAGCTATGTCTCCCTGACTGAGTCGCAGACGCTGGCCAATGGTTGGCCTGATGCCATTGTCGTCTCGACGGGGAAGGATGGTGTCTAAGAAAACTCCTCTACAGGAAGAAAAAAGAGAGAGAGAGAAAGGAGAGAGAACAGTCAAGGCTGTCTAGCCATCCGTGAAAGGATGTACAGTCTTCATTTCCTTGCCCCTAACCCTACCAACATTCCTAGCTCCTGGTCTGCCTCTGCCAGACTGGTGTGACTAAAGGCTGGCATGGGAAAGTGACTCTGCCAAGTTTAAAAATATGCCCTAGCCCCGTGGCTAAAGCCTTCCTTACTGATGCGTACTACACGTGTCCATGAAGCCCCTGTCAGGCCCAGGTCCCAAGGTCCCTGTGCTGCACCACTGCAGGGAGCGCTGTTCAGAGAGACTAAGGCGTGGGTGGCGCCCCCTGGAGCTGTGCGGTGGGCAATACCGAGCATGGATAAGTCTTGGAGAGGTTCCAGAGAGGGCCTGGGAGCCAGTACAGTGTGAGACTTTCAGGAGCAAGTCAGCCAGGGCCGGTTGATGAATTGGTAAGTAATTGGGTTGGAGTTTGCAGGGCCTTATGGCAAGAGAGATAATCAGATGGAAAAAGAGATGAATGCAGAGAACAAGAGGCAGTCGGAGCCCTGGCCTAGAGATTTCTATATAAGGTCTGGCTTGCCCCCTGGGTGAGCTAGGACAAGTCCTTTCCCCTCTCTGGGCCTCAGTTTACTTTTCTGAACTGAGTGGCCCAGTTGGTCACAACAGTGCCTTCTAGTTCTAACACCTTATTCTACTCCCACACGAGCGAACTCTAAAATGACCAAAAAAAACAAGTGGACACCAGGATGTCCTGGCCCCACCGACACCGCCATGGGGTGGGTCTGGCTCACCCCCTTCCCGAGCCTCCGCCTCTGCTTCCAGGCCCCTGACTCAGGACCTCTCCTGGAGGGGAGGGCCTTCCCTTGAACTGGCTCCTTCTCCTGTTACCACATTGCTTCTTCCCTTCCCTTCTTGACTGAGTTTCTGGGAAGAATTTTATCCATTCTCTGTCTGGCTGCCCACCTCTCATTCACTCCTCAATCCGATCGCCTTCCGACCACACCAGCAAGTGTCACCAGCTGTCTTCCAATTGACAACTCAGATGGATGCTTGTCAACCCTGGCCTGCCCTCTCCATAGCACTGACACCGCCTTTGCTGTCCCGACCCTCCTCAGACTGTCCTCTCCCTGGTTCCCAGCATACTGATTGCTCTGAGTGGAGCCACCACCAATAGGCTCACAGCTAATTCTCTGATTCCCACCCCAAAACCTTCTGCAAAGCTCCAGATACCTGGTGACTCACCACCCCCAACAGCTCTGTCCTATGGCTTCATAGCCATGCTCACTCAGTAAACCTTGTCTCCTGAGACTGTGAGCCTTGTCTCTGAAGGCGCCATGGCACCTTCTATGCATGCCTTGAATCCATGCCCGCCTTGCCCTAGACCATGGCTTCAGGCAATCAGCGTCCCTTTCCTGAATTTTTCCTCATAGCTTCTCAACAGGCCACCCTCCCTGTAGATGCAGCCACCTCCTCCCCACAGTGCTGCAATGAGATTGCCCTGAAATGCAAGGGCAGACCCGTGTCCTCTGCTCAGAAGCCTTCACCAGCTCCAGATCACCACCTGGCTCACCGGCTCCCGCCTTCCTCTCCAGCCGCTGAGCTCCTCCCTAGCCCCCAAACACACCCAAGGCCGCCCACCCCTGACTTCATGCCTACCTGTCGAACTCCAGCTCATTCTCCAGGACCCCAGCAGATGGCTTTCCCTCTTAAGAGTCCTCCTGAACCCTCTCCAGCCCTCCCGCCCTGACTTAATGACCCCCTCTCCGGCCAACCTCTGAGCCCGTCTGTCCCATCTCTCAGCTTGCTCTGTGGTCTTCTTTGAAGAGCGATGGCATTTGTCTTCTCTGCTAAACAGTAAGGTCCTCGAGCAGAGAGGCTGCGTCCTTCAGCTCTGTGCCCTCAAGGACCAGAGCACAGCAGGCCTCAAGAAATGTTTCTTGAATTGAAGTACGTAGCCAAGATAGGGCACCGTCTTCAAAACACTTTGCAAAATTGTTATTTACACCCAAAAAGGAAATGCAAAAATGCACATTATCTAGTTACTTGCTGCAATTTCCTCTCTTCTCTTTCTCTCTTTTAAACATTTCTCTTTCCCTAAGTTCTGCACTGCCTTAGAAAACACGTATTATCCCTGTTTCTTCCTGGTTACATGTTTTATTATCTCTCTTTTTTTCTTTTTGAATGTACTTTTCTGTAAGTCAAACATCAAGCTTACCTACTTTCCAATTAAACAGGCAGGAAGGAGCCTAGATTGTCTGATGATTTCCTTTTAAGCATCTGTACCGCAACACTTTACTACCTGGCCTGTCTTCCCCTAGCTCTACTACCTCACCTCTGGACCCAGAATACCCCGGAGAAACTTTACTGGAATCCTTGGTCTCCCTCAATGACTTCACCAAGTTTTAAACCACAAGTGATTCTACATAAAATTCTAAAATGAATCACCTACTAATCTAAAAATGGGCACTCTGCCTTAGTGTAAAATGTGTCTCTTTGTAATTATTTTCTTGATTCCCCCAAAGAAAGAAATTTTGCTGCACAAAATGTAAGGCTCACCACACTCTCTTAGCAGCTTAGGCTACCTGACCCTGCCAGTGGCCCACCATATAGGTGACTCTGCCAGCAGCCTGCGGTGTGGAGCGCATGTTCTCCTGGTCACTGAGCGCAAACAGGACCTTCCTGTGTGCCAAGCTCTGGGCTGGGCCCTTTCCAGGCACCATCTCATTTAATCCTTGTAACACCCGAGGAGGCAGGCACCATTCTGAAGGGGATTCCCTCTCTGCAGGTGAGATCACGAAACCCACAGAGCTTCAGAGTGCAGAACTAGGTAGTAATGGAGAGCCAGGCAAGCCTGGCTATATCCCTGTCTAGACTCTACACCTTGCCGCCTGGCCTCTTCCTCCTTCCAGCCAGTGTTACCCCCTGCTCAAGAAATAGTAGGCCTTCGGGTATGTAGATAAAAGATAGAGTTAGGAGCGCTGGAGACTTCAAAAGACAAATGAGCAGGAGCAACATCAGCTCACACTCAGGCAGCTCTGTGGGGCTGGGACCCCTCCCCTTCGTGTCCCTGAGCTGCCTGGGCTCTGGACAGTTTACTGCAAGAGACGTCCCCTCTTTTATGTAGGGCAGCTCTTAGCATTGACATTCTGCTAAACGAAGAAAGGGTTTGGCAGATGCCTTAGGGAATAAACCTGTCAGCTCTGAGTTCCCCAAACAAAGGCGCCCCTGTACCAGAGACCCGTCTTCTCATCTCTGGGATGCCTCCCCAGCAAAACCACCATGACACCACTCCCCTCAGCCCCTGGCCAAGCAAGGGGAGGAGGGAGGAACTGCAATAAACTAAGGTGAGTAAAGTTAGGAGGAGATGGCTCAATCATAAAGACACATGAAGGTTGGGTTTCCCTTCAGCAGGAACAGCATTTGCCCCCCAGATGAGCAAATGGTCTATAGGCCGTTTTCTGCTCTTTTACAGACTCAAAGACAATGGGCAGGCCAGCTCCAGGGTATGTGTGACTGGGAATCATGACAGGTGTTAGGGAGGGGGAAACTTTTGACAAAAAGTGGGCCAGCGAAGACCACCAGTATGGACACCATTGCTAAACACCTTACTGAATAAAGCAGTTTTATGAAAACCCATGCAGAAAATTGGCCGAAAGGACAAAGCATCCAACCTGCTGCAAGATGGACCTGCCGAAACCATTCTGAGCTCTGGGGCGGGGGTGAGAAGGTTGCTATGGTGGATTGTTAAAAAAATAAATCGCGCCTCCTAACATCCATACCACTGGCCTTGTGCCTTGCTCTGGTTAATGGAATGTGACAGAGTATGTCATGCGAGTTCTAGAGCCTGGGTTTGAAGGGTCCTGCAGCTTCCCAGCTTGGCCTATAGGAACTCTGAAAAACCCAGGCTGGCCCTGTGGAGGATGGGAGGCCACATGGAGGAGGACCAAGGGGTCGCAGTGGATGGGCAGCACAAGGCCAGGCAAGGTACTGGCCCTCTTGGACTCCCCAGCCCAAATGTGCTGTCAAATGACTATTGTTGCAGAAGTTAACACAGGCAGTACCGGAGAAGAATGAGCCCGAAGGGCCCACAAACATTATAAAAAATTAGCTGTTGGAAGCCACTAAGCTGGGAGGCAGATGGTTTTGCAGCAATAGCTCTCACCACAGCAGCAGGAGGGGGAGTCCACCTCCCTCCGCTGCCCTCAGGCACACTCCTCTGCTCCTCCCCAGCCGCCTGTCACTCCCATGCGCCCTCCCCTTGTCAATCTCCCTCCGAGGGGTTCTGGGTACTTTTGATGAGCAATTATTAGTTCATGGGTTTGGTCCATGGGCTTCCACTGATCTATGCTGATAAAATGCTCACAGTGACAATAGTGTTAACAGTGTTTATCTCCTGAGAGGCAAAAGGACAGCATTATGCACTAGGGATCACAGGACGTAACACAGAGATGTATTTTTTTCTTGAAAGAAAGACAAGAAAAGAAATGCTGGTGCTGTTCAATCCCTGTCTATACTCTTGCCTTGGCCCCTGGCTTCAGAGTTTGTCCTAGTAACTGGCTAGTTGCAGACGCTGAGAGGCAGTGCAGTGCCCACTTCCCACCAGTAGTCATTTATCCACAATTCCCCTCCTAGCTGACGCTTGCAGAGTCTCCCTAAGGAAGTGACCAAGTATTTGTGAGCATGTGGAAAGAGCTGCAATGAGGATAATGGAAATTTCTTTCCTCACCAGTTCCCACCATTGCAGATCTTTCTTTTTGACTCATTCATGGATTTTTTTCATTTAAGAAATATTTATTGAACACCTCCTCTGTGCCACGCACTGTGTTGAGTGCTGGAGACTAAAAGACAATGCCCTCAAAGATCTCAGTCTAGCAAGGGAGAGGGGAACGCAACAGATAAATATTAATAGGCAAATACATCACAATAATGAATAGACAAATTATAAAGCAATGTGAAGAGTTATGATAGCCGTAGAAATAAGACCCAAGGTATAAACCTCCCACTTGGGCCAACTGGACATTAGTTCCTTGACAAAAATCAACATTTGGTTTCTGCTTGGCAGCCTGCAACCCCTGGGGCTATGGTGGTGCGACCAGCTATTCCTCTACCACTTCCCAAACCTGCGAGTTGGCCCAGCCCCAGCACCCAAGCTTCCTGCCTCTGACCTCTGATGATCCTGCCCACTCCACTGACTTCTTGAGACACACCCCTCACACACCTCCAGAGCAGGTCCCTCAAAGTCTCAATTTCCCAACATGGAAGAGGAAGCCTGAGTTCCATGTGGCAATGTCTGCAATAATATCAGTCAATCCCTCACCCACCTGCACCAGATCAAGAAATTACAACATGAAATGTTTGTTCTGGAAGGGGCACAGAGAACATTTAGCCTAACCCTCTTATTAGCCTAACTCTCTCAGGAAACTGAAGCCTCGAGAGGTGGAGACTTGACCCAGCACACAGCTGCCCCTAATTACCATCAATATCTCCCTCAATAGCCAGGTTTCCAGAGAACCAGAGCTAGAACCTGTGACTCCACCCATTAGAGCCCTGGAGACATCCTACCTGGGGCAAGATTGGACATCACACTAAATCAGCTGGGTAGCCGGAAGAGCAGTGCTCCACCCCACCCCCGCCCCCGCCCCTGCCCCGACAGCATGGCGTGCCGAGGTTTGGAGGACCTCTCCCACTGCTCTGTGACCTCACTAACAGGGTGCTCTCAGCAGCTGTACCCAAGAGCCAGAGCCCTGGGTAAATAGGCTCTCTCCCATTCCCAAGAGCTGTGTGTCTCTAAAAGAATGGCTTCCTTTGATCTTTATGGGCATGGCAACTCATGAAATGGATTGTTTCTCTCTTTGCTGTGACTGCTAAGAAGCACAGGCAGGATTTGCTGCCAACCCCAATAAAGTGTACAGGACTTTACGGCATATATCTCTATACTAAATTGAATCCAAGCTTCAACTTAGCTATCTGCCCTTATTTTTCCCCTCCTCTGTCCCTAAGTGTTTGCATCTGTTTTTTTTCTTGTTGTCCTGATGGATTGGGAATCATCTCAAATCTTTCCTTTTTGAATGATTAATAAGTAAAAAGCAAAGCAAACAAGCTGGTTTTAGGACAAGCTAGAAAAGAAGGAGACTGAGTAAAAAGTGCAGAGAGAGAAAATATTTGCAGTGTCTCCTTTAACTCAAGGGTGGAAAGACCTATGAAACTGAGAGGAGCAGGGGAAAATGTATATATACAAAACCCTTATATGGTCTAGAAGCAAGGGCTGTGTTGGAAATACTTGACACCCGATCCAGCACAGCACCAACTGATTGAAATCGAAACAGATCCTGACGATATTGGCCATAAATAACTAGTCTGGCCATACTTGGGGGTTTAACAGCTACCATCATGTGTGACCAGCAGGCAGGAGACCTGGATTTTTGTTCTCACTCCAGCAGCAGCTACCTGCATGTCCTCAAGCTAGCTGGAGCCTCAATACCCTCGTCTCTAACATGAATCCATGATTTACAACTCTCCCACCTCTGATAAGGTCTAGCTTCCCATAAACCACACCTCTTGTGGGAGAAGTGGTAAGCGCCACCATGCTTACATCAAGGACGGGCTTTAGAAGATTCCCCCGCCCACTGGAAATTTTACACAGAGCCTTTAAGTTATTACCCCAGCCAACCTCTTGATAATTTCCCTTTTCCACTTTGCTGCTTGTGACGCTAGGGCATGATGGAACACCAGCTTCACCATGGGATTCAATCTTATTAGTGGGAACCTGATTAGATTATATTTCACTGCAGCCCAGAGGCCACTGTATTTCAAGGACAGACATGCCAACTGTGCTAGGAACATGCAGAGAGACCCACTGTCCGCAGACGTCCAGGAATCCGCCCCAAGCCTGCAGCAGGCACAGTAAAACACAGATGAAGCATAACCATAGATTCCGACCTTGAGAAGGTGTTCCGGGCGTAGTGCATGATGCTGTCAAAGTCGTACGTCTCTCCCAGAGAGCTCACTTCCCCAGCTTCCATTTTTAAGAAATTATACTCCTGACCTGTGACACAACACTCTGTTAAGGCCTTTGAAAACCAAGACAGGCACCTGAAAGGAGGCAGAGGGGGGAGAAGGAGGGCCCATAGCAACTGCTGGGAGCTCTGTTGGCCCCATCAGGCACGCAACAGGGCTGTGGAGGTTCTTGTTGTTTCTAACAGACAGGACATCCGGAACAACCCTATATTCCCCCAGTCCACCACCAACACCCTCCCCAATGCCATCTGAAACTCTTAAATTAAGTTTGTAAACAGGTTAGTTATAGATCTGATTGCTCAAAATTAAAACAAAAATTCAGTTCTCACTATTGAAGGAACAAAAAGAAAATAAATCAAAGAGTTAAGCTGAATCCCAAATAGTTCACAACTCAGACCCTCAAAAGAATATTAAGGCAACCATATTATTCAACCAGCTATTTTGAAATTCAGTATTAACTACTATATAAAATTATTAAACATGAGAAGGTATTTTTTAAAAATCTAGACACTGCCTTGGGGCAAAACATTTCTAGGCAGATATATTGTTTTTACATGCACTTGTGTCCTAATTGTATTTCAGTTTCAAAAAGATGTGTTGCCTAAGTCAGCAAAAGATGACTCTTAAAAAAGCAACCAGGAGAACTCTTTTTTGTGTGTGGCTTATCAGCTTTGATGCTACAAAGTGTTCTGGTAGATTCTATTCCTGTTAGGAAATAGAGCTGGATTTCATTGTTCTTTACAACATAGCAAGTCATTTTGTTTCTGCTGTGACCTATAAGCTACGGCACATGACCCAGGAAGGGCCACAGATGGACAGTGGCAGGGCTTTGACAAACACCTGCACAACAGGGTCGCTGCCTCTGTACTTACAGATGAGCATCGGTCAGCCCCCGTAACCCCTCTCTTTCATTCCCACCTGGCCCTGTGGATGCCACCTTCTGGGCTGGTGGCTTCCAGACTCCATACTAGCTCCTTACCTGGCTGGATGTTTTCTCTGATGATAGTGACATGCTGGTCTCTGTCTGGCCGGGTGTGTTCATGCCAGAACCCAACCACATGGCCCAGTTCATGAGCCACAATGCCAAACTTGTCACAGTTTTTCCCAATGGATATGGCCTGTGGACCTCCTCCTCGGCGCCCGACATAGGAACAACAGCTGGACAATTGCAGAAATAACCAGGTCAGCAGGTCAGGGAATAGCAAGAGCCTAATGCCCCTCCCCCAATGTTGTCCATGTGTGTGTCTAAGAGAAAGACAGAATTTCACAGCTGAAAGCCCTCTCTTTGGCCAGCTTTCCTCCTTATATAGAAATTTCCTCCCAAAATAGTTCTTGACCTTTTTTCATGGTTGTAGATCCACTTGAGAATCCAAAGAAAGATATGGCCTCACTTACCAGCATAAAGCACATCCTTTTCCCCACCCCTCCACCCCCAAGCCTCTACTGGACCACCTCTGATGACAAGGAGAGACAAGGGAAGGAGTCAGCTGAGTCTCTGTGTACCATGGGCCTTGGCACCGCCATGAGAGGAGCCATAGAGATGGACACAATTAGTTTTTCAAATAATATTTGTTCATTATTTCTAACATAGAAGGTATTTAAAAAATGAAAATGGCCATAATCCCATCACCCAGATAATCCTAGCAATGGATTAATGGCAGAAAGGTATATGAATTTGAAATTTTGATAGATACTATCAAATTAAAATATACATGCCTGTATGACAAAAGATTGAAGTATTAAGTCTCTCATCTTCATCTCCAATTTCTTTATCCAAAGATAACCATTGTTAACAGTTTAATTTTAAAATACACTACATACATTGTCCTTCATCTTACTTTTTTTCTTCCTTAATTTAGAGATCTTTTCCTAACAGCACATATAGACCTCTCCCATTCTTTTCTAAGCAACATGGCACTAAGTATTACTTACTCAGTCTCCTACTAATGTACATTTAGATGACTCTGGTTTTTGCTATTTAAACAAACCTCGTGGAAGAGGGAGACAACAAATGACAACAAGCAAAACAAATAAATGGTCAGACTCTTACTTGTCTGTGGCAGGGTGAATTCCTAGCAACGGATTAATGGCAGAAAGGTATATGAATTTGAAATTTTGATAGATACTATCAAATTACGATCCTCAAATGTTGTTATCTATTTATATGCCCACTAAGAATGTATTAAAAAGCCCTATTTCCCCACAACCTGGTCAAAAGAGATTTTATCAAATTGGATAGGTGAAAAATGGCAAGTGTGTATATATATCTTAGCCATATATCTTTAATTTTAAAATGGAGGGCTTTCATTGTCCAAATATCTTGTAATTTTAATCCTGATTCCCTTATGGCCTAAGATTTGTATAAAACGGTGCTTTTAACTTACCAAGTAATGCAGGGGTATTTATTTATTCTGCTTTTTGTAATTATATTATTATGTCCAGTTTCATTGCTTTGCAGTCAGAGAATATATTAATGCTATTTCTGTCTTTTAGAACTCATTGCGGTGTTCTTAATGCCTAACAGATAGATGGACAGTGTCAATAATGTTCAATACACACTTTAAAAAATGTGTTATCTGTTTATAGAATCTGATAGATCCATAGGATAAACTCAATTGTATTTTTCCAGTCCTCTACAAAACTGTACTTATATTTTGGTCAACTTGACATTCATCTACTTGGGTTGGTGTAAATGAAATAAAGTCTCCTGCTGCTGGGGTTTCAGTCAATTTCCCCTTAAATTCCCTGGGGCTTGTTTTATGACTCTTAATGTTATGCTATTTGGTGCATAAAGATTTATGACAGTTATTTTCTCACTGTAGCTTGTTCCCTTTCTCATTATAAGCCTCACTTTTTTAAAAATACTTTATGACTTAGAAAAAAAAAACCCTAACAAAAAAGGCCTTGTCTGTAACTAAGATTGTGATTCTAGATTTCTTTTTGCTAACACTTGCCTGTATGCATTCTTTCCTTTTACTTTTAAATCTTTCCGGATCATTTTCTTTGGTTGTCATCTCATGTAGACAGCATGTAGTTCGGTTTAAGTTTCTGAACCAACATGGGAACCTTTTTCTTTTAGTAGGAGAATATATCACACTTACATTTATTGGCATAACAGATAAGTTTAATCATAATCTAGTCATCTTACTATTTGTTCTGTTTTCTGGAAGAAGTCAGTAAGCCGTGGAGCCCATGAAATTACATGCAGAATTTTGTATGTATGTACATTCATCATGAGGGAGCCTGAAGCTTTATCAGATTCTCAGGAGGGTCACTAACTCTAAATTAGTTTGGAACCACCTCTCCATATGAAGCAGCCCCAATTCCTTCCATTGCTCCCATGATAGGAGATCCAGACTCCTTGTCTTCTAGAGTCTTCCTGACCCACCTATGTTGTCACTGGCTTACAAGTTCACTAGGGGCAAGGGAAGTTTCTGACAAACTCTGGGCTCCTATGTATTACAGTTCTTTGGAAATATTTAGTTTTGCAGAGGAAATTCAGGACTCATGAGCCATCTGATTTGTCTGGCTCTGATTCTTCTGAGGAGACCTTTCACTTACTTACCCACAGGTTCTGTAACTGAACACAATAAAGCTTTCTTCATCAGTCCTCTCTATGAAGGTCACACAGGTGTGCTTCTCCCAGTGTCTCATGGCCTGCTTAAAAATGGCTCTCTGGCTTCCTGAAATGACAGGGCAAGTGCTCATCACCCTACTCCTGGGTGCCTGCCTTCCTTAGATGCGCTAAGGCATGCTGGCTTACAACACATCGTGCTCCAATGATTAATAGGTTGCTTGTTCAGGTGAACCAGAATAGAAATGCACTAGGAATAAGGATTTCCCTTGCTAAGAATACAGTATAACTTTCTTAAATTACCAAGACTTAAGAGCAAAGGAGCTTGTGAATTGGAAGAAAAGGTAAATCATATTTTCAAAATATCCCAGGCTTCCCAACTTTTGCATTGTATGGAAAATACTCCTTTAAACTTTAAAAAAACTCCTACCCAGGTTATTCTATTGCAAGTTTTAGGCCTTTGAAGTAGCTCACCAGTACTGCATTCCACTTCCTCATTTTACTTTATACCTATAGGACAGTATTCCCATAGCCACTGAGCGTTCTGTTTACATATACATTCATGCTACTTTTGCATAGAGGTCAGTGATTTCTGGGGGATCCTTGAGTCTAATTTTCTATAAGGCCTTTGAAAACAGGTGAATTTAATACTTTCTATGAAGCTGTTTTCGTATTTCCTTGATTAGAAACGTATTAAAAAATAGTAAGTAAATTGTCTGAGATAAGAACAAAACAGTTATCCACTCCAGACTGACAGTTATGTGCAATTAGTAAGAGTTGTTTTCAAAATCTATCAGAGATAAAGAAGACTTGATTTTGCTAGAAGCAATGAGAAGGATCTAGAAAATAAGTTGTTTGGTAAGTATAAAGGATGGTTGGAGGTGGGGTCTGAGTTCTAGTGTGCCCTCGTTGCAAAAAACAAATAAACTACTGGGGAGACTACCCTCATAGTCTAGAAGATGTGTAGTTGTTATCACCAAAACATACATACAGAATAAAGAGTAACTTTGCTGTTCTTTTTAAAAAATATATCTTGACACTTCTGGTTCAAATTGTTTATAGCTCATTCAACCAAAAAAGCAACTTTACTAATTACAGAAAAACAAAAATCTCTATGTAAAGAAAGTTCTTTATGTAAAATTAGTCCATTTGGACAAAAGTTATCTAAGTCTTTGGTCAGAAAAGCACATCAAATCTGAAAGAACACAGTTAAGAACAAACGTTAGTATCTCATTACAGATCTGATTATCACTTCAGGTCCTTATGCACACATCTTTCTCTCCTATTCAGACTGGGAGTCCTGAGCACAGGGTGTTCATCTTTTTTTTATCACCAGTGCCCAATTCAGTATCCCCCACGGGTTAATGGTATGGGAGTGGAAGGGAGCTAAAGCCTGAATGCCAGCCTCCCTATGCTCTGCCAGGGGCTGTTATCAAGGTCGTCACAGTGCCTTTACTCATCAGCCGTTTCCAGTGACTTTGACCAGTCTTTAGGAGGACTGTTTCATCAACCATCTCTCTTAGTTAAGTCATAGAACCACAGAGAGGACATGGACTTACAAATGCTGCCAGCACTGAGAGCCCAGAAAACACAGCCATTGTAGCTTTTCACTCAGACATTCAACCGACATTGGCCACAGGCCTGCTCTAGGCATAACTGTTGACCATCTTCTACAAGGCCGTGTTCCAGGTGTTGGAGATTTAGGAATGAAAACAAGACAGACAAAAGTTCCCTGCTCCCAGAGCTTGGGAAGAGACAAAATAAAATAAAAATACAAGTAAAATAATTTCAAGTAATGGAAAGTTCTGTAAAGACTATGAAGCAGAGTAATGGGAGAGCAAGGAGCTGTGGAGGTGGGGTATCAGGGAGTCAAAGAACGCCTTTCTGTGGATGTGTCATTTGCTCTGAGACTCCAATGGTCAGAAGCAAGCCAAGAGAAGACCTGGGGAAGGAACATTCTAAGCAGACGGAAGGGCAGGTGCAAGTGTGCTAAGGTGGCAATGAGGTAGGCATGTTCCAAAAAAGCAGGGTGCCTGGTGAGGCTGGCACCTGGGGCCTGAGGGGAAGAGTGGAGGAGAGAAGGGTAAAAGACTAGCTGGGAGGGGAGTGAGGGCTGGCCAGAGGAGCACTGTAGGCCTGTGGTTAGGAGTGTGAGTTTCATTTGTGATAATGGGAAGCCGCTGGATGACTTCATATTGTAAAGATAGTAATACAAATAGCGAACTTCTAATGATCACGTGTCAGGCACTATTCTAAGTGCTTCATCTAAATTAACTCAATAGTCTCAGAACAACCCTACGGGTAGAACATTTTATTCCCCCTTAAACAAGAAAGAGCTGAGGCACAGAGAGGCTAAGTGACTTGCACAGGGCCTACTGCTGTCAAGGGCTGTGACCAAGACTGCCCAGGTGGTCTGATGCCACCTACTGCCCACTCCAGTCACCATACAGTGTGTGCCCCGGGTGCGGGTGGTCGGGGCGCACATCTGGGCAGCAGACAGATGAGCCACTCATCCTGCCCACACTCTTCCTTTTGCTGGGAGGGCTTTGCTCACATACCATCGTGTACACCCTGTTTGCTCTTCAAGAGCAGGGTCAGATGTCACCTTCTGCATGAAGCCCCAGGGACCAGTGACCTCCTGTGGGGACACAGCCCCAGCAGAGAATGCAGTTTCCCCAGGCCTAGCACATCAGGTCCTGCAGGCATGAGGGAACATTAGCAGCCGGTGGGACTGCTGTGGCCCTGGTGTCCACTTCATCTCATCTGAGTCCTTCCAGGGAGGACTCTCTCAACCAAGGGAGACAAAGCACACAGCTCTAATGCAGGCTGCATTTGGGGCTACTGACCGGTGAAGTTCCCTCCAATGACATAGGGGATGACCCCTCCAGGCCATATCCTCTCTGTCCTTGAGGTGGTGGCTCTTCGGACTCGGGGAGAGAAGGTCTCAGCATTTGAGGTCCCAGAGCTCTGTGGAAGCACGGCATTCTTCTCACCATCTGCAAGAGAGTCATGCTGTCACTTACTTTGCCTTTAATTCCTCCTGTGCATTATGGTTATGATTATCTTACCCACAAGTCCATGAATGAGGGTGTTAAAGACATGTGCTTTAAAGGGGGTATTTGGTCTGTTCAGGGTTTGAGCCCCTGGGTGGTAGTTGTCCACACAAGGGAGGAGTAAGTGTAGAAAGTGGACCAGGCTTATGATGGCAGTGGGTCTGGCTTACTGGAGGCCTGGAGCGAGGCCCTTTGGGGCTCAAGGGCAGCCTGTGGGCCAAAGTCAAGTGGGTCTACACACCTCACAGCCCTTCGGGATGTGTCAGGGGTGTGCTCTCTTCTCAGAGTCAGTCCCCTGCCTTGACCAAACATCAACAGTGTCACAAATTTTGAAAATAATTTGGCCAGTCTGACAAATAAAGTAAAAATCAGTGATGCTGGGAAAATAAAGTCTTTGTAAAATAAACCGCTGGAAAAAGCAGAGCCTCATAAATCCCCCAGGTCCTCCCAGTCTCTGGGCACATCTGGACCTTTGAAAGAGGGACAAGGGAAAGAACTAGAGGCTCTATTTAAGATTGTGAGGCCGAGGTGTGGCCCTTGGAAATAGCATACAGAGAGATGGGTTACAGTCTCTTAAACTTGTGGTGACCAACTAATTGAATTCACATTTCATTTTATTTATCATTCAGACAATTTGAGGTTTTGTTTTCAGCCTATCTGCTTAGAATCCTTCATTATTCCCTCCTGGGTTACCTTCTCTTTTGTTTTTATACGGTTTCCCTAAAAACCAGCTTTTGGTTTTATGGATTCTTTTCATTGTCTCAATTTCATCAATTCTATTGTATTACTTCCTTCTTTTTCATTTATTTTATTCTGATATTTCCTTTCTAGCTTCTTTTTTTAAAAATTGAGATATAATTCACACACTCTAAAAATCAACCTTTAAGGTGTACAATTTAGTGATTTTTGGTACATTCACAAAGCTGTGCAATCATCACCAGTATCAGAATCCCACAAAAATTTTCATCACCTTGAAAAGAAACCCCGTATTAGGTAGCAGTCACTCCCCATTAGTCCTTCCTCCACAAGTCCTTGGGGACCAGTAATCTATCTTCTTTTATGAATTTGCCTATTCTAGAATTTCATATGAGTGGAATAATGTAAGATGTGGCCTTTTGTGTCTTGCTTCCTTCACTTAGCTTGTTTCCAAGGTTCATTCATGTTGTGGCATTAATCCGTACTTCATTACATTTTATGGCTGAATAATATTCCACTGTATGGATATGCCACCTGTTGTTTATCCATTCCTCATCTGATGGACAGTGGGGTTGTTTCCACTTTTTGGCCATCATGAATAATGCTGTTATGAACATTAATGGACACATTTTTGTGTAGATATCTTGTTTTCAGTTCTCTTGACTGGAATTGTTGGATCATACAGTAATTCTGCTTAACCATTTGAAGAACTACCAGACTGTTTTCCAAAGTGGCTGCACCATTTTACATTCCCACCAGCAATGCATCAGGGTTACAATGTCTCAACATCCTTGTTAACACTTATTATTGTCAACCTTTTTTATCATAGCCATCCTAATGGGTATGAGTGGCATCTCACTGTGGTTTTTTGATTTGCATCTCCCTAATGACTAATGATGCTGAACACCTTCCTCTTCATGTGCTTATTAGTCATTTGTATATCTCCTTTGGAGAAATATCTCTTCAAATACTTCGTGCATTTCTTGGTTGGGTTACTAGTCTTTCTTTTGTTGTGTTATAATTATTCTTTATATATTCTGGAGATCAGGCCCTTATCAGATATGTGATTTGCAAATATTTTCTCCTATTCTGTAGGTTGTCTTTCTTTTTTATGACAGTGTACTTCGAAGCACCAAAGTTTTTAATTTGGATGAAGTACAATTTATTCACTTTTTCCTATGTGCTTTTTGTGTCATATTTCAGAAATAATAGCCTAACCCAACATCACATAGATTTATATCTATGTTTTTTTCTAAAATTCTATAGTTTCAGTTCTTATATTTAGGTCTTTAATCATTTTGAGTAAACTTTTGTTTAGTGTGAGGCAGAGGTCTAATTTCATTCTTTCACATGTGGATATCCAGTTATTTTAGCACCAACTTTTGTTGAAAAGACTAGTTTTCCTTCTGTGGACTTGTCCTCGCACTCTTGTAACAAATCAATTGTCCATCTTTTTCTGGCTTCTTGAGTTGAATGTTTGGCATTAATTTTCACTCTTCTAATATTAGCATTTTAAGGCTAAAATTTCTCTTAAGTTCCTTTTTACCTGCATCTCATCCTTTGACATTACATTTCAATGTTAGACACTGATATACTCTCTAAGTTTATTTAGGCTTTCTTCTTTGCTCCTTGAATTATTTAGAAGTGTGATCTTTAATTTCTAAACATTTGTCTGTGTGTGTGTTATTGATCTCTAACATGCTTTGTGTTCCAAAGGTCTATTCTCCAAAGCAGGGGTTGGCAAATTTTTTCTGTAAAAGACCAGAGAGTAAATATTTTAAGCTTTGTGGTTAATACATTCTCCATTGAAACTACCCAACTCTGCCACTGTAGTGTGAAAGCAGCAATAGATAAATGTAAATGAATGAGTATGGCTGTGTTCCAATAACATTTTATTCACAAAAACAGATGGCAGGCTGGATTTAGCCTCCTGGCCATAGGTGGCTGGCCCATGCTCCAAGATACCACTTCTTTGATATTTTGAACCTTTCTTTTTAGCCCAGTACATGATTAGTTTTTAATCTATATTCCATATATTCTTGAAATAATATGTATCAATTTCCATAACTAATGGTTGAAAGGTATTACATATGTTGTTCAAATATTCTACCTGCAAATATTTTTAGCTCCTTGGTGTATCAGTTATTGAGAAAAGTGTTTTAAACAATCTTGAGAACTAAGATTGTGAATTGTCATTTTCTTCTTTGTTCTTAATTTTTGCTTTATATTGTTCAAGGCTATGTTGGCTAAGTACAAGTCAAGGTTTGTTAACTGTTTGATGTGAGTTGTTTCTTTTATCATTAATGACCCTCTTTACCTGTAATAATGTTCATCCATAAAGATTAATTATATTAATATTGCTATACCAGTTTTTTTTTATTAGTGTTTGACTCATATAATTTTTCTCCATCCATTTATTTTCAATCTTTTTGTGTAATTATGTTTTTTTTTTCCTGAGTCATTCAACAGGTTTATTCTGTGGGTAAATTACTTTCTTACAACAAACAATAAAACGACCTTTGTGATAGAATGTAGAGGTTCAATAATTTTTTTAGTGTATATTAAATAATTTTTGTAAATGGAAACTTTTATTGATAACTATACATTCACATGCACTTGTAAGAAATAATACAGAGAGATTTTGTGTACCCTTTACCCAGTTCCCCCTATAGTAACCTTTTATAAAACCATAGTACAATTTCACAACGAGGATATGGACATTAATATAATCCACTGATCTTATGCAGATTTCCTGAACATTATGTGTATGTGTGTGTGTGAGTGTGTGTGTGTATCCAAACAGGTTTGGGCATCCACCACCACATTCAAGATACTGAACAGTTCCTTTACCATAAGGATCCCTCATGTTGCCATTTTATAAGCACATCCACCTCCCTTCCCTTCTGCCCCAAACCATCCTTACACTCTCAACTACTAATCTTTTCTCCATTGAAAAAATTTTGTCCAATTCTAGAGTACATAACTTTTGGGAATTGGCTTTTCTCAGTGCAATTCCCTGAGATTCATCCAAGTTGTTGCACATATCAATAGTTTCTTTTTATTGCTGAGTCATATTCTGTGATATGTATGGAACATGTCACACAGTTTAAGCATTCACCTGCTGAAGGACATCTGTGTTCTTTCTTGCTGCTACAAATAAAGCTGGTATGAACACTCATGTACAGGTCTTTGTGTGAAGACAAGTTTTATTTCTCTGAGATAAAATATCCAAGAATGGAATTGTTGGATCATATAGTAATTGGGTTTATTTGAGGGTTCTTTTTTCTGTTCTGTTGATCTACATGTTTATCCCTCTACTAATATGGCATTGTCTTGATTATTATACAGTAAGCCTTAATATCAGGTAGAGTGATTACTCCCACTTTAGATTATTTTCCACGATTGTTTTAGTTATGTTTCCATACAAGTTGTATGTGTCTTTCCATATAAATTTTAGAATAAGCTTGTCTATGCCTACAAAAATGCCAATCTGGGATTTTGATAGGAATTACATTAAACCAATAGACTGAATTGGAGAGAACTGGCATCTTTACTATATTGAGTCTTCCAATTCATGGATGGGATATATCTCCCCATTTATGTAGGTATTTCCTGATTTCTTTCATCAACACTGTATAATTTTCAGGAAACAAATATTGTTCATGATTTTTTAAAGTGTATACCTAAGTATTTCCTTTTCTTTGGGTGAGTACAAATGGTATTGTGTTTTTAATTTTGGTTTTTACATGTTTATTTTTATATATAGAAATGTAAGCAAATTTTTGTGCTCTGGTCTTGTTTTCTGCCATCTTGCTGAACTCACTTATTAGTTCTAGGATTTTTGCTGTTGTTGTTTATTGTAGACTCCTTAGGATTTGCCACATAGAAAAACATGTCCACTGGAAATAGGAAAGTTTTTATTCTTCCTTTCCAATGTGTAAGCCTTTATTTTTCTTGCTTCACTGCAATGCCTATAGCTTCCAGAACTGTGTTGAATAAAAAAAAACATGAGAGCAGATAAATACCCTTGTCTTGTTCCTGGCCTTAGGGGAAAAGCATTGTCTTTCACTATTAAGTAGGATGTAAGCTGTAGGTTTTTTTCTTAGAAGCTCTTGGGTGATTTCTTTTTATTCCTAACTGGCTGAGTTTTTATCATAAATAGATGTTAGATTCTGCTATGTGCTTTTCTGCATTGTTGATGTGATCATAGTATTTTTCTTTTAGCTTATTGATATGTTAAGGGTACA